GCACCCCCAACAATACACCGCTAGACATGCAAATATGGGACACATAGATCGCACGGACAGGGGCACTACGAATCCTCGGGGGATGCAAACACCCACATAGCCTCTGCAGGGAACATCACATATTGCTTCCAACATTCCAGGGGGCATCACACCGCAAACCACGATGTAGAATACACTCATTTCGAATGCCACACCTTTTACAGAGGTATAAGCCAGGGCGGGATATATAAACTCGCAACGTGAGGGGAGGGAAATACACAAAACTTAAGTTCCTTCTCTCGTTATAAAACTCCGAGATAGGCAACTCCTATCTACAGACGAAGAAGCAATTGAAACTGCTGCCTTTTATGACTCTTCCGCTGATTTCAAGGGCACAGCTGCACATTTCTAATGAACGCCTTCTCATGAAAAATGTATTTTTCCTTTTTTTTTTTTTTTTATATAGCCCTGTAATGACCGACAAGCGAGCAGGGAGGGGAATTTTTACACAATTTAACTCATAGAAAATTCTTTATTCCTGCGTAGTTGCGGAAGGCCACTAGCGAGATTTATAGCAGCCCGAGAAAAACCTTTACACTCTACATTTCATAACTGACTCGTGGAGATGTCGGTGTGACACACCACACCCCCATCAACCCTTATTTGATAACACACTAGCATCACCACTACCATGAAACCAATGGAAGGTACACGGGGGGAGGGGGGAAAGAGGGGGGGCGGGACGCAACGCAATGGGGGAGGGCAACTGGTGGATGGACTATCCCCTGCAGCCACCTGCTCCGTACTTAAGATACCACACACACCCCACCAACTACGCTGCCAACCCAACAACCCGGAGGGCAATGGATCCCCCTAGCACGAAAAGTACACCGGTCCCCCTCCCACCAATAACGCATCCGGCCCACGAGGCAACTAGCATACACCCCCAACCAACCTACTTCCCTGACTCCCAGCGCAGAGGGGAGACTCAGTTAGGAATGAAATACTGTCTAAGGCATATGGTAGCAGGCCTATTACCCAATGTGTTCTCTGCACACTAAATGTTCTATTGTTATGGACTAGATTAATGTTTAATGACCAATGTTAAAGGTTACTCACCCAATGTGTTATCTGCATTCTACTAAATGCTCTAGTGTTATGGACTAGATTAATGCTTAATGCCTAATGTCAAAGGTCACTCACCCAATGTGTTAACTACATTCTACCAAATGCTCTATTGTTACGGACTTGATTGCTGTTTCATGACTACTGCTAAAGGTCATTATTGGCACTCTACTAAATGCTCTGTAAACCCATTCATCGGGCAAACAATGCCACCCACGCACAGCGGACCTCAAGACCTCGACCTGACGTCTGACCACCCCTCTCCCTAGGCCCACAGGGCAATCCACTCGAGCCCCCCGCCCCAACACCCACCAGACAACGCCATCGCATCCACGACCACCGCGACTTCAGACGATTAGCCCTATATATCCCTATGCATCCCCTGCACCATCACAGTAAACGGACGACCGACTGATCCCCAAAGAATCCCCACGGATGACACCAACAAGACACACGGCCCACTTACGGGACTGAGACCGCACCGGATACACGGCCAGGACCACCGACATCCATCGTAGACCATCTGGCCTTGAGAACCCAGGATACCCCAGCTAGCCGCAACCCCCAATAGCTGACCTCCCCAAACAAGAGACTGGCAGGAAGACAATACACGGATAGCACACAGGGCACCGCGAAAATCACAGACCCCCACACAGGGGACTGAGGGACGCCCCACTCATGCAAAGACCAACCCCGCCAAACGCCAGGCTACACACCATAACGACCCCCAACCATCAAGGGCACCAGACCCCGCACCACGCCCCACCCCCCAACGAACACACACCCGAGGAGACACCACACCAAACCCCCCCAACAGACCATAAAATAACGAATGCACCAGAACCACCTCCCACAGGACTCTGGAACACCCCTACATGTAGAGCGACCAACCACAGGGGTTAAACTCCCCCTATGCCCTGACCACAGCGGCACAAGGCAACCCCACACACCCCCACCTGACTACCCCACGAACCAAACCGCACAACAACCCATCCCAGGGTAGACCACACAAACCGCATAAGGGACCAACCCCCCACCATACCGTACGCAACAGCGAAATACGACAACCGAAGAATCCTGGGGAGCGCCTGGTATTCCGACCGTCTTCACCCCACGACCCCACACGGACGACACACCCCTGGCACTCTCCCCAACCCAGCTTGGGACAGAGGCCGTGGTAAGGACATATACCACAAATAGAAAACATAAGCCCACAGACGTAACCCCCTCCGCCCACACGACACCTGGCAGCAGCTTAGTAAGACCAGGTATGTTTACTTCATAACCCCTAGCTACATTCTAATACCCCCCCCCCTTTTTAGTTTTATTTTTTTTAATTTATTTTAATTTTATTTTATCTCCCTCCTCTCCTCCTCCCCCTTTCCCATCCCTACCCAGACACCCGGCCCGTGAAAGATGCCAGCCACTCTGACCTGCCTATCGATCAATTGCAAATGCCTAAACAACCCCTCCAAAAGGCACCAACTCATGAGGTGGGCCAATAACACAAAGGCGGATATCCTCCTACTCCAGGAGACGCACTTCACCCAAGCCAAACAGTTCCCTCTCCTGAGCCGACACTACCGGGTGAACTACTTCGCCAGCTCCCCGGCAGGCAAACAAAACAGAGTAGCCATCATCACACGGAAGTCATGCCCCCTCTCAGTTACCCATACCATAGCCGACCCACAGGGCAGATATCTCACAATAATGGGCAAAATTGGGGGGCGGGGCCTGACCATCAAGACGAGCAGACGCATGTCTTGTCAGCTCCTGGGCAAATAGCGCTTTATTGCCCCAAAATCATTGTTTTCAGCCCACACCTGGCTTCCTGCCGCCGCACTTGGGCATCCTTGGAAGCAAAACAAGACAAGCAACTGTATGCCCATGCCGACTGATGGCCAAGCGAACACTGCGGCCTCCTTTGTGGACAGGGCGGGAGAAGCGGCCGATCTTCCGATCCTGGCCCGGAGAGGCCAATCCTACACACGGCTGGCACCCGTACTCCCCCCCCTGTGGTCCGGTGGGGGTTATCCCGGACCCCACCAAAGAATCTCAGCACTCTGGCACAAACCAGCCAGCACAACTCCAATAAGCCTGAAACTCTAAAGAGGCCCCAAGATGGCCGCTGCAGAGGAACCAGCGTGGCGAGGAGAAGCAAAGCTCGCCAACATGAACCCTGAAGAACCCAAGCCTTGTGTACCTCAAACACCCTCGTGGGAACTCAGATTCAACACAGCGTTCGACAAGCTCTGCACAGCCTTCTGGGCCCGAATAGAGGCTCGACAGCTACAGCAGACCCTTTCCTTACCTGCCCCTGGGGGGGCTCTCCGGCGTGAACCGAACGCGTCAAAGTCAAATAAGCTGAGAGACCGGATGGATGTCCAGCCCATCAAACACCCGCAGCCAAGTGAGCCCGTCAGTGATAGAGGCTCCCAGGGGGCGACGGGCACTGTCTATGCAGACGAAGAGCCCAGAGATAAAGAAGCACTGGAAGGCTTCACAGATCTGGCTCCTGGAGTGGAGGAACAGCAACACCTATGTGATGGCCTGCACGCTCTGGGGGACTCCCGACCAAGACCTGAGGATAAAGGAGGACTTGATTGAAACGGCCTGCCAACACGAAAACCCAGATTCCGCCTGCCTCACACATGTGGTATTGGCTGATATAGACTTGCAGACTGTACCTGTGTCATTCTCCTTAGTTGTTATTAATGCATTCAGTTTGAGTTTTTATTTAGTTTAAGATGAAGAGCCTGTTACCAAAGACATGAAAAACCTTTTAGATATACTCCCCCACTAGCTTGCCAGACTTTCACCTTATGGCTAGACAAAATGTTCCTCACACTTGGTGGCCTTCTCCCATCTTAGATACGCTTCACCATCCCAACATATGACACCTCACTAAGGCAACCACTACAGCAGTCAGAGCATCAAGCCTAAGTCGCCCAGCCTAACAGTCTCTACTCCCTGACTGGTACAAGCATGTTTAATATGTTGATAAAATGAGAATTAACCTCATGTTGAGAAATATGTTTAGCCTGCCTTCCATAACACTTTAAAATGTGCTATTTGTCTTAGCATGAGTACTAAATACCACAAATCGATGATGTTAAAGCTTGTTAAATCTATACTATAAAAATGTGCTATGTGAAATGTTATGACTATGCCTGCAGCAGCTGTCGTGGCTCTGCATGTTTACTGTTACTCCAAGCACAAACAAAATAAAGAATTTAAAAAAAATAATGGGCAAAATTGGCCCACAACAATACGCGTTTACCTCAGTATACGTACCCAACATACCCACCGGTTCATTCTGGAACACCCTTAGAGCACACCTGGCACTATTCCCCTCCCACCACTTGATCATTGGAGGAGACTTCAATGCCACTCCATCGCCCACCGTCGACAGACGCCGAGCCAGAACCCACACACAACGCCGACTCCCAACGGCAAAAGCTGACAAACCCTTCGCAACATTCCTAGACCAGACCCACCTCATAGATGCTTGGAGATCTCAACACCCCATGACTCTAGATTACACCTTCTTTTCCCACCCACATCAATCACATTCCCGCATAGACCTTATCTTAATATCCCCGGCGATATCACCCTCGCTCAAGCACACGTCCATCGGCCAGATTACACCACATTAACATTCATCATCCCGGGCACAGCCCGACCGTGGACATGGAGGCTTAACCCCACCCTCCTCCATAACCCACAGATCCGAACAACGGTCGCCAAGGCCCTGACCGAATACTTCGAACTAAACAAAGACTCGGTGGACTCCAAATACACCCTATGGGCGGCTCACAAAGCGGTCCTAAGGGGGACACTAATAAATCAAGCAACCACACACAAGAGAAAACAGCTCTCTCACCTGGAACACAGGCACACTCAGAACCCTGGAGACCAAACTAAAATCCGAACCTACGCCAGAAGTGACAGCCAAAATCACGAAATGTCAGACGGAAATCAAAGAGCACATGAAAAGAGACTCGACAAAAGCCCTACTGTGGTCCAAACAACTCTTCTACGACAAGGCAAACAAAGCTGACACTCTACTGGCACGAAAACTCAGGCAACGCACGGCCCAGAAACAGATAAACAAAATAGCCACACCAAATGAGACCATAACGGAGGACCCCAACAAGATTTCAGAAGTATTCCAAAACTACTTCACGTCCCTATACGACCACGACCCCGACACACGGCAGAACCCAAACACCACCAAAACACTCATCGACCTATGGACGGCTCACAAAGCGGGGAAAGTGATGGAAACCATGTTAAAGGATAGGATTGATGAACATCTAAAAACACATGGATTTCAAGATCAGAGACAACATGGGTTTACTTCAGGGAGATCATGCCAAACTAATCTTATTGATTTTTTTGATTGGGTAACTAAAATTATAGATCAGGGTGGTGCAGTAGACATTGCTTACCTAGATTTCAGTAAGGCTTTTGACACTGTTGCACATAGAAGGCTTATCAATAAACTGCAATCTTTAAGTTTGGATTCCAATATTGTTGAATGGGTAAGGCAGTGGCTGAGTGACAGGCAACAGAGGGTTGTAGTTAATGGAAATATATTCGAAGCTTGGACTTGTCACCAGTGGGGTACCTCAGGGATCTGTACTTGGACCCATTCTCTTTAATATTTTTATTAGTGATATTGCAGAAGGTCTTGATGGTAAGGTATGTCTTTTTGCTGATGATACTAAGATATGTACCAGGGTTGATGTTCCAGGAGGGATAAGCCAAATGACAAATGATTTAGGTAAACTAGAAAAATGGTCAGAATTGTGGCAACTGACATTTAATGTGGATAAGATAATGCATCTTGGACGTAAAAACCCAAGGGCAGAGTACAGAATATTTGATAGAGTCCTAACCTCAACATATGAGGAAAGGGATTTAGGGGTGATTATTTCTGATGACTTAAAGGTAGGCAGACAATGTAATAGAGCAGCAGGAAATGCTAGCAGAATGCTTGGTTGTATAGGGAGAGGTATTAGCAGTAGAAAGAGGGAAGTGCTCATGCCATTGTACAGAACACTGGTGAGACCTCACTTGGAGTATTGTACACAGTACTGGAGACCGTATCTTCAGAAGGATATTGATACCTTAGAGAGGGTTCAGAGAAGGGCTACTAAACTGGTTCATGGATTGCGGGATAAAACTTACCAGGAAAGGTTAAAGGATCTTAACATGTATAGCTTGGAGGAAAGACGAGACAGGGGGGATATGATAGAAACATTTAAATATATAAAGGGAATCAACACAGTAAAGGAGGAGACTATATTTAAAAGAAGAAAAACTACCACAACAAGAGGACATAGTCTTAAATTAGAGGGACAAAGGTTTAAAAATAATATCAGGAAGTATTACTTTACTGAGAGGGTAGTGGATGCATGGAATAGCCTTCCAGCTGAAGTGGTAGAGGTTAACACAGTAAAGGAGTTTAAGCATGCATGGGATAGGCATAAGGCTATCCTAACTATAAGATAAGGCTAGGGACTAATGAAAGTATTTAGAAAATTGGGCAGACTAGATGGGCCGAATGGTTCTTATCTGCCGTCACATTCTATGTTTCTATGTTTCTATGACCACTGCCTGACACATACCCCGCTGCCGTCCCTGCCAAACGAAGCAGCACAAAAACTAGTAGACCCGATAACACCAGAAGAACTCGCGGGCACCATGAAATCGCTCAAACCAAACAAAAGCCCAGGCCCGGACAGGTTCACAGGAGTGTACTATAAAACATTCGCCCCCACACTCTCCCCCCACCTATGCAACCTATATAACGCCATCCTACAAGGCAACCCATTACCACAAGAAATGCTCCAGGCCACAGTCTGCCTCCTTCCCAAACTCAATAAAACACACTTAGATCCGGGACACTACAGGCCCATCTCCCTACTTAACGTAGACATAAAATTATTCACCAAACTCATGGCAGATCGGATATGCCCCTACCTCAACTCATCCATCCTGACCAAGTAGGTTTCAAAGGGGAAAAACCTTGAGAATTCCTGGAAGCCTCCTGTACTTAAAGAAATCCTAGGTGGGGATTAATCCACCCAAGCTGTCATCACGGAGCAGGAAATCTGCTCTTGCTTTGTAAGTACATTCTTTTATTATTTTATCCATATTGCTATACAGTGAGCACTATTGGCTGTTTCTTTTATTCCGAGAATTGGACACCTATCACAGAGAGGAACCCATTTAAATCCCACAAGCGGGGATTAAACCGCTGTATGCGCCTTACCCCAGAGCTAGGACAGTAGCTCTGATAAATGTGAGTTCTATACTATTATTATTTTTTTACGTCCACACCAGAATTTTATATACTACACTATTGGTCGCCCTTCTCTCTCCTTTTTTCTCTTTCATATAAGTGGAACCGCTACATTAAGAGAAGACGTCATTAGCAAAGACCATTTGTAAGGATATAACATTGGGACTTTTCTTTTCCTTTACATTGGACTTCATTTTTACTTGTGTGCGCAGCCTTTTTTTATTATTTTCATTTATCCAGTTCTAAAGGGTCTGAGGGATCCCCTTTTAAGGTTGCTGCCTATAAGTTATCTAGCGCTGTCTCATTTCCATTTTATGTAAATAAGCTAAAGATGTTACTGAACAACCTCCACTTGCATGTAGATAGTCAATACATTGTGTACAATATCTGAATGTGATGCATGCATGTACCACGAACAATACCCCCCCTACTTTCTTTCTGTAAACCCAACCCCGACAACGTACTCTATCTAAAATTCAAAATAAAGAATTTATAAAAAAAAAAAAATAATAATATTTATATTATGCTTAAGTGAGGCTGGTAAGTGGGATTTTATCATTTTTTCCGGTCTAGTGCAGACAAATAGTGAACTTTAACCCTTTCACCACCACGATTACGTCACGCAGACTCTTGAAGAAGGGTGCGTTTGTGACAAATTGGTGTTTGAAGTGGGATAACTAAAAATTACTTCATCGTTTTGTACCAGATTTTAGTGTTGCTGGATTTGCTAGTTAATCCAGACACTAAAAGAAATTGTGTCTCAATTTCAAAGAGGCTGAACTCAAGCAAATATAATAAATTTAAACCTCAACAGTTCCACCCTTCTCTCTGTTTTTTTCTTTGCTATCTTTTATTTACTAAATGGAGTACCAGACACAGTCCAAGGCAGTGCTAGACCTTTGCCGGGAGAGATCTATTCCCTGTCTGGGAAAAACAAAAGAGGAGCTATTACAAGCACTGGTGGACTATGATATACAACAAGCAGTGCAGAGTGATGCCTCAAACACTACAGAGGAGAGACCTGCAGCTTTTGTCTGTCATGTGCCGAGATCTGCAGCTACCTTGGACTCTTACTTGCAAACTGTGTTTAAATATGTGGACTCAGCAGACGCAAACCAAAGACTTCAGCTTATCCTCAAATATCAGAAGGCTGAGAGAGAGGCTACTGAGCGCCTAGCTGAGAGGGAGAGAGAAGAGCATGAGCTAAAAATGGCTGAGTTGGAGAGGTTGACTGCCTCCTCTAGGAGTATTGATTCAAGAGACTCTTCTGCACCCAGACCACATGCAGAGAATTTTCCAACTTTGGATAACGATGGTGACCTGGATGTTTTGCTTTGCAGTTCTGAAAAAGTTTGCAGGCAGTACCAGCTACCAAAAGGACCAGTGGGTACAGTACCTCACCCCTGGTTTCAGAGGTCCTGCTCTGGAAGCATTTGCTGCACTTCCAATAGAGTCTGACCAGGACTATGAGAACTCGAGAGGAATTAACCAAGTGAGTAGCTCATTTAGCAGACATTAGGCAGTTAGAGTAGGACCTGCCGAATATGGGGTACATTGACTTGTGGCAGGCATATGCACTGTATGATCATGTAATGTAACTAAATCCCCATTGTTTTTTGCCTAGATTAGGTGTTTTTAATAAAAAAAAAAAAAACACTTACAAAATCTGTCAGCACCAAAGTAGCTGTTTAGTAGATAGGGAGTGCGCTGGTTTCTCATTTTTTACTGTATGATATGATTAAGGCTTTTTCAGGACTTTGCAAAAGCTTCCACAGAAAGTTATGCAGCAGTTGTGGAACACCTGGCGACAGCATTCCAGCAGTGGACAAGAGTTTGGAGGATCTGATTGTTAAAGAACAGTGCTTGCAGCTTTGCCCAGCAGATGTGCAGGAATGGCTGCTGGTCCAGAACTCCAAAACAGTATTGAGGCGGGTGAGTTGGCAGATTTTCATACTGCCAACCGAGCAACAGTGGACCGGAGCCGAGGTTTTGCCAAGGTAGCATCCAGTTTGAAGACCATTCCTCCATGGCTCCCTATCACCAGGCCTAGCGGGTCATCTTTTGTTTCAGTTTCCACCTCAGGGAGAGGGGGAGCTAGTGCCATTTCTGTGCAAGGAGATAGTCACAGATGTTTTATTTGCAAGCAAATGGGGCACTTGAGTAATACCTGCCCAAAGAAAAGGAGACCAGCACCCTCATCCAGAGGGGTTTGCCCTGCAGGAGCCCCATCTTCTGTGTTGTTCATGACCAAGTCAGAGGGCAGCAACAATGTGAATCTGCAACCTGTCAGTTGGAAAGGAGGCAACTGTGTGACTCAGGGACAGATGTGACTCTTGTGCGCTCTTAGGACATAATTCCTGGCAGGACTCTAGCAGTTAAAAGAATGGGGGGGGGAGAGAGGGTTTCAGAGATGTGGGTGTAGATGAGGATATCCCTGCAAGTGTATTACTTGGTACGGACTTATGTAGATTGTGATCCCAATATGTGCCAGAAAGTAATGTGTGTTATAAACCCAAGCCTCGAAGGGGCCCTACTGTGTGTAGAGCAGTATGTAAAAGTGTACGTAGACTACCTTGCTGGGAGAGGAGGAAGAATGAGCATGTGTGCGCAAGTGTGTGCCCAAACTAGGGGTCTCTGCAATATCATGTGAGAGTGTGCCAAGACAAAGTTACTGTGAGGGAGGGCAGAATGTGTGTCAATCTGTGCCAGAACCAATGGTGCCTGTAGAAACATATGCAAGAGACTGTGCTGGGAGGGAGGGCAGAATGCGCATGCATGGCAGGCTGTGCCAAAACCTGAGTTGTCTGTGGTACCATGTGAAAGTTTGCCAGGGCAACTTTGCTGGGAGGGAGGGCAGAATGTGTGTCAATCCGTGCCAGAACCAGCGGTGTCCAT